ATCCCAAAAATTCCCCCCAAAAATCCCAGAAAATCCCCCCAAAAAATCCCAAAAAATCCCCAAAAAATTCCCAAAAATTCCCAAAAATCCCCCCCAAAATCCCCCAAAAAATCCAAAAAAATTCCCAAAAAAGTTCCCAAAAATCCCAAAAAAATCCCAAAAAAATCCCCAAAAAATCCAAAAAAATCCCAAAAAATTCCCAAAAAAATTCCCAAAAATCCCAAAAAAAATCCCAAAAAATCCAAAAAAATTCCCAAAAAAATTCCCAAAAATCCCCAAAAAATCCCAAAAAAATCCCCAAAAAATCCCCCAAAATCCCAAAAAATTCCCAAAAAATCCCTGGAGTACCCAGTATTCCCGGAATTCCCGGATTTCCCTCGCAGGAGTTCGAGAACCCCGAGGGGGACGAAGATTCCGGGGATTTTTCGCCTCATCCCGAGGATTCCTCCTCGTCCTCGCCCTCCCCTCCCCCCGAGGTGTTCGTGGTGCCCCTGGAGCCGCCCCCGGGTACGGAAAAACGGGAAAAAACGGGAAAAACGGGAAAAAACGGGAAAAACGGGGAAAAAACGGGAATCTGGGAGGGAAAAAATGGGGAAAAATGGGAAAAAACGGGAAAAAAACGGGAAGAAATGGGAAAAAAAGAGGAAAAAATGCGAATTTTGGAGGAAAAAATTTGGAATTTGGGAGCAAAAAATGGGAATTTGGGTTGGGAAAATGGGAATTTCAGAGGAAAAAATGGGAATTTGGGATGGGAAAATGGGAGAAAATGGGAAAAAATGGGAATTTGGGTTGGGAAAATGGGAATTTCAGAGGAAAAAATGGGAATTTGGGATGGGAAAATGGGAGAAAATGGGAAAAAATGGGAATTTGGGTTGGGAAAATGGGAATTTCAGAGGAAAAAATGGGAATTTGGGATGGGAAAATGGGAGAAAATGGGAAAAAATGGGAATTTGGGATGGGAAAAATTGGGGGAAATGGGAAAAAAATGGGAATTTGGGTGGGAAAAATTGGGAATTTAGGGGGGAAAATCGGGATTTTGGGGTGGAAAAATTGGGAATTTGGGGGAAAAAAATGGGATTTCGGGGTGGAAAAAGTTCGGGATTTTGGGGATTCGGGATTTGGGTGGGAAAATGGGGAATTTTGGGTGGGAAAATGGGGAATTTTGGGTGGGAAAATGGGGAATTTTGGGTGGGAAAATGGGGAATTTTGGGATTTTCCCAGCGCCGCCGGGGCTGCGGCAGCAGCTGAGCTTCCTGCAGGAGATCGGCACCGGATGGTTCGGGAAGGTCGGGAATCTTCCGGAATCTTCCGGAATTTTGGGGGAATTTGGGGGAATTTTCAGGATTTGGGGAGGATTTGTGGGGAATTTTTTGGAATTTTTGGGAATTTTCAGGAATTTTGGGGAATTTTCAGGGAGTTTGGGAGGGAAATTTGGGAATTTCGGGGGAAAATTGGGAATTTTGGGGGGATTTGGGAGGGGATTTGGGATTTTTTTGGGATTTTCCAGGTGATTCGGGGAGGGGATTTTTGGGGGGAATTTTATCGGGTTTTTTTGGGAATTTTTAATGGGAATTTTTTCAGGATTTGGGGTTTTTTGGGGGGATTTTTCCAGGGGATTTTGGGGGTGGAATTTTGGCTTTTTTTGGGATTTTCCAGGGGATTTTGGGGGGAATTTTTAACAGGAATTTTTTGGGGGAATTTTGTCTTTTTTTGGGATTTTCCAGGGGATTTTGGGGGGGATTTTGGGGGGAATTTTTAACAGGAATTTTTTGGGGGGATTTTGGGGTTTTTTGGGATTTTCCAGGGGATTTGGGGGGGGATTTTGGGGGGAATTTTTAACAGGAATTTTTTGGGGATTTTGGGGTTTTTTGGGATTTTCCAGGGGATTTGGGGGGGATTTTTGGGGGAATTTTTAACAGGAATTTTTTGGGGATTTTGGGGTTTTTTTTGGGATTTTCCAGGTGATTCTGGGGGAGCTGAGGGGGGGTCCCAGCCCCGCCCAGGTCGTGGTGAAGGAGCTGCGGGCGGGGGCCGGGACCCCCGAGAGGAGGCGGTTCCTGGCTGAGGCCGAGCCCTACAGGTACCCAAAAACACCCCAAAAACACCCAAAATACCTCCAAAACACCCCAAAAACACCCAAAAACACCCCAAAAACACCCCAAATACCCCAAAAACACACCAAGAACCCCCAAAAACACCCCAAAAACACCCAAAATACCCCCAAAACACCCCAAAATAGCCCAAAAACACCCCAAAAACACCCAAAATAACCCCAAATCACCCCAAAATAACCCCAAACCACCCAAAAATACCCCAAAATAACCCAAAAATAACCAAAAACACTCCAAAACACACCAAGAGCACCCAAAAAAACCCAAAAACACCCCAAGATACACCCAAAATACACCAAAAACACCCCAAAAGACCCAAAAACACCCCAAAATACCCAAAAACACCCCGAAATACCCAAAAACACCCAAAATAACCCAAAAACACCCTAAAACACCCCAAAATACACCCCAAAACCACCTGAAAAACATGCAAAACACCCCCAAAACACACAAGAACACCCCAAAATACACCCAAACAGCCCAAAACAGCCCAAAAACAGCCCAAAAACCACCCAAAAACACCAAAAAACACCAAAAACCACCCAAAAACACCAAAAAACCCCCCAAAATACCCAAAATATCCCAAATCAACTCAAAACCTCCCCAAAAACACCCAAAATACACCCCAAAAATACACCCAGAAACAGCCAAAAACACCCAAAAACACCGAAAAACACCCAAAATACACCCAGAAACAGCCAAAGAACACCCCAAAAACACCCAAAAACACCCCAAAAACACCCCAAATACCCCAAAAACACACCAAGAACCCCCAAAAACACCCCAAAAACACCCAAAATACCCCCAAAACACCCCAAAATAGCCCAAAAACACCCCAAAAACACCCAAAATAACCCCAAATCACCCCAAAATAACCCCAAACCACCCAAAAATACCCCAAAATAACCCAAAAATAACCAAAAACACTCCAAAACACACCAAGAGCACCCAAAAAAACCCCAAAACACCCCAAGATACACCCAAAATACACCAAAAACACCCCAAAAGACCCAAAAACACCCCAAAATACCCAAAAACACCCCGAAATACCCAAAAACACCCAAAATAACCCAAAAACACCCTAAAACACCCCAAAATACACCCCAAAACCACCTGAAAAACATGCAAAACACCCCCAAAACACACAAGAACACCCCAAAATACACCCAAACAGCCCAAAACAGCCCAAAAACAGCCCAAAAACCACCCAAAAACACCAAAAAACACCAAAAACCACCCAAAAACACCAAAAAACCCCCCAAAATACCCAAAATATCCCAAATCAACTCAAAACCTCCCCAAAAACACCCAAAATACACCCCAAAAATACACCCAGAAACAGCCAAAAACACCCAAAAACACCGAAAAACACCCAAAATACACCCAGAAACAGCCAAAGAACACCCCAAAAACACCCCAAAACACCCCAAAACACCAAAAAACACCCAAAAAACACCCCAAAATACCCAAAATACACCAAAACCAACCCAAAACCACCCCAAAATACACCCCAAAAACACCTCGAAACGCACAAGAACACCTCAAAAACACCCAAAATACACCCAGAAACAGCCAAAGAACACCCCAAAATCACCCAAAATCACCCAAAAACACCAAAAAACACCCCAAAAACCCCCCAAAAACACCCAAAATCCACCCAAAAACACCAAAAAACACCCCAAAAACACCCCAAAAACACCCAAAATCCACCAAGAACACCCAAAACCACCCCAAATCCACCCCAAAAATGGAATTTTGGGGGAATTTGGGGGAATTTCCCGCGGAATTCCCGGATTTGGGGCTCCCCCGGGGCCGGGACCCCTCCGAAATTCGGGAATTCTGGGGGAATTTTGGGAATTTTGGGAATTTTGGGCGGAATTTGAGGATTTTGGGGTCCCTGGGTGGGATTTTGGGTGGAATTTTGGGAGAATTTGGGGTGTTCTGGGTGGAATTTCCCGCGGAATTCCCGGATCTGGGGCTCCCCCGGGGCCGGGACCGCTCGGAATTTCGGGAATTTTGGGAAAATTTGGGAATTTTGGGGCCCCTCAGGACCCTTCGCCACCCGAATTTGCTGCGGTGCCTCGGGGGCTGCCGGGAGCGGCCCCTGCTCCTCGTCATGGAATATTGCCAGATGGTGAGCGCGGAATTCCCGGGAATTCCCGGAATTCCCGGAATTCCCGGAATTTTTGTGAATTTTTGGGAATTTTTGGGAATTTTTGGGAATTTTGGGGGGTCCTGGAGGGGATTTTGGGGGGAATTTTGGGGATTTTGGGGAGATTTGAGGGGGGGATTTTTAGAAGTTCTGAGGGATTTGGGGAATTTCTGGGAATTTTGGGAATTTTTGGGAATTTTTGGGAATTTTGGGGGGTCCTGGAGGGGATTTTTGGGGGAATTTTGGGGATTTTTGGGAGATTTGGGGGGGATTTTTAGAAATTTGGGGAGGTTTTGGAGGGATTTTGGGAATTTCCGGGAATTTTGGGAATTTTGGGGAATTTCTGGGAATTTCTGGGAATTTTGGGGGGTCCTGGAGGGGATTTGGGGGATTTTGGGGGGATTTGGGTCACATTGTTCGTCTGGTTTGGGGTGTTTTGGGTGTTTTTGGGGTGTTTTTGGGTGTTTTTGGGGTGTTTTTGGGGTGTTTTGGGGGTGTTTTGGGGGTGTTTTTTGAGGTGGTTTTGGGGTGTTTTTGAGGTGTTTTTGGGGTGTTTTTTGGGTGTTTTTGAGGTGTTTTTTGGGTGTTTTTGGGGTGTTTTTTGAGGTGTTTTTTGGGTGTTTTTGAGGTGTTTTTTGGGTGTTTTTGGGGTGTTTTTTGGGTGTTTTTGGGCTGGTTTTTGGGTGTTTTTGGGTGTTTTTTGAGGTGTTTTTTCAGGTGTTTTGGGTGTTTCGGGGCTGTTTTTGGGGTGTTTTGGGGAGTTTTTTGGGGTGTTTTTTGGGGTGTTATTGGGGTGTTTTTGGGGTGTTTTTGGGGTGTTTTGGGGTGTTTTTGGGGGGTATCTTCCTAATTTCTTGGATTATTTTGGGTTATTTTGGGTTACTTTCACACAATTTTTAATTCTCTTTTTATTCTCTTGTGTTGTCTGGTTTTTGTGTGTTTTGGGGCGTTTTTGTGTGGTTTTGGGCTGGTTTTGGGCTGG